TAGAAAATGTTTTGAAGGTTTAGTGATATTGCTTATTTTTATTTTATTTTATTTTTTGTCTTTTTCCTTTTTATGGGTACCGGGGATCGAACTCATGACTGCCTGCTTGCAAGGCAGGTGCTTATGCCACTGAGCTAAATCCCCAGCCCTGGTATTGCTTCTTTAATCCGTTGGCAGATTTCACCAGTGAAGCCATCTGATCATGAGATTCTCTTCATCCCACCAAAGAGAAAACAAAAGGCTCTTCTTCTGTGAGAAGTTTTGGTCAATAACTCAATCATTCTATTTAAATAGGTCTGTTCAAGGTTTTGTTGTTTCTTCAGTTTCTAGAACCATATCTATCATCTAGGTTATCTAAGTTATTGGCAAATAATTTTTTGGTTTTCCCTTATAATCCATTCCATTCTAATAATAATCCATTCCATATCAGTAATAATCCCACCCTTGTTTGAGACACAGTTTATTAGTTCAGACTGATCTTGAACTTGCTGTGATCCTCCTGCCCCAAAGTTCCAAGTGCTGGGATTGTAGACATGTGTCACCACACCCAGCCATGTCCCCTCCTTTGTTAATGATGTTTGCCCCCAAAACAGAGTCTTGCTATATAGTTAATGCTGGCCTTGAACTCACAGCTGTCTTTCTGCCTCAGCCTCCCAAGTGCTGGGATTATACCACCAAGCCCGGCACTGTTGATCTTTTACCACTGAGTTGTTTTGGTATCTAGAATACAATTTAGGGCTTCATGCTTGCCAGGCAGGCACTGGGCTCATAAGCTGCTAAGCTGTCTCCACAGGATCGTTGTTAAAAACTAATTTTTGGCAGTGTTGATTTTCTCTATTGTTTTTCAATTCTCTGTATCACCTTTTTCTGTTCTACTCTTTACTGTTTCTTTCTGCTATCTTTTTTTTTTAAGTTTCTTGGATTTTTTTCCTTGTTTACTCAGAGCTTTATATTACTGATGAGAATTTTTAATATTTGCATGTGTGTGTATACCTTTCCTAAAGTGTTGGTGCTGGGTGTCTTCTTTCACAGTGATGTTGAGGTATTTCCTCATGTCTGTTATTTCTTCTTGACCTGTTAGTTGCTTATATATGCTTAATTTCTATATTTAGGAATTTACCAAACTTCTTCCTGTCATTGATCTGTGATTTCATCCCACCTTCTTTAGAGAACATATTTTGTGTACTAGTCCTTTTAAGTGTATTGAGACTCGAAGTAGGTGTGATGACACATGCTTGTAATCCCAGCATGGGAGGTTCAGCAATGAGGACTGCAACTTCAAGCACATGCTGGGGTACATAGCAAGCCTGGAGCTGATTGGTATTGCAGAGAGACCCTGCCTCAAAAGAAACAAAGAATGGATGGACACTTGACCTAGTCTATCTCAATAGACCTGGCTTAATAGTAAAAGGTCCCAAGGGTCTTGAGACACATGCATGTGGCACTCACAGGTCTTTTCAATGTGCCCTTAAGAAGACTGTGTTTCTTCTTGTTTTTACATTGTTGTTGGGAAATGTCCTATACAGGAATGTTAGGTTTGGTTGGCTTATAATAAAGGCTTCCTTATGGAGCAGTCACTTTTAGGGATTTTGTTTTTAGCCTCTTTTTTTTTTTTTTTTTTTTGGTTTTCTATCCACTTTTTTCCTACATTTTTTTCACTTTCTCTTTTCCACAGGATCTTTTACAGACATACAGAATCCCCAAAGGGAACACTGCTTTATGCATTTTAAGGTTTATTCATAGGTAATCAAAGAAAATGGTTTTTTAACCTATGAATCAGCTCCATACCAAAAAAAGAATATCAACTTTTTATGTAATTTCATGCATATTGAAAATACAGATAACTTTTATCCCATTGCATTTTTCAGAATTCTCAATAATAATCCTCTGACAACTATCGAAGATCCATCACTTTTTACATTACAAGCATTAAATTATCTGTAAGTATTGCCATAACCTTTAAGTCATAATATGACTTTGGCTCTTCTTGCTTCCTTCCAAGAATGGTACAGTATTGTACTTTGATCCTACAGGTCATAAGTTTAATTTTAATCAGGTTATTCACAAAGAGAAGGATTAAGATGTATAATGGGCAAGAGAGTCAGCAGGGATCGGGAGCACCACTGAGGAACACGGTAGACACGGATCACATCAGTGGATGCAGGAACACCATTACCCCAGGAAACATAGTGGCCTTGTTACTAAAAAGAACAACACAGTGAGAGATGTGAATGCAATATAAAAATGTGAAGTATGATGGTGACTGAAACACAGATGCAGCATCTACTATGCAATGCCAAGGTCATTCATTTGATGATGAAAACATTAAATTTGAATTTTTGCATGAAGACTTCTCTGGGATTATAGTTCATGTAAAGTTATGTGCTGGCTTGTTTCACTGGGAGGCAAAAGTGCAATAATAAGATATCCTTCAAATACCTGTTGAAGCACAGACTTTTGGCATTGGGCTTCCTCATTTCTGTCTGGCTTTCTTCTTCAGGGACTTGGGACAGACGCATGTGTCACTCACAGTACTGGAGAACATCCTCACGAAGTCTCTTGAATTGGAAAGACTGTAAGTTAGTTTTTTTCTCAGATCTGTTTCTCTTGGGTTCATTGTTGTTGCTAGGTTTGTTTTACTATTAAGTCAGGCTTATGGACGTGTGATTTCCATGTCACAAAACTCACATGTTTGAGGAGTTTGTGTGGTTATGTAGCCACCACCACACCCCTGCTGTAAAACATCTGGGTCACCTTCAGAAGGCAGCTCATGTCCTTCACAGCTGGTTCACTCTATCTATCACGGCTCCCAGAATCTGCCAGTCTTTATTTCTGCCCTGTACGTTTACATTTTCTGGAAGGTCTTATAAATGAAATCATGCAGTGTGCAGCCATTTGTGTTTGGCTATTATCCACTTAGGATAATCATTCATACATCCCACGTGCAGTCTATGGGAGTTCAAATGGCAGCTAGGCGTGGCGGCCCAGGCCTGTAATCCTAGCACCCAGGGAGACTGAGGCAGGAGGATGGCAAGTTCAAAGTCAGCCTGTGTATCTTACTGACAGTGTGACCCTGTCTCAAAATGAAAATGCATAAATACATGTAAAAGCTGGACAAAAAGAGAGGCTGGAGACAGCCCAGTGTGAATGCCCTCAGTGTAATCGCTAGTACCCCAATCAAAAACAAAGAAAAGAGTTACCACATCATCTTTACCTGATCCCTGCATTTCAGTCTATAAAAAAGGTAAGCCTTTTTAACACCATGTATGTGGATCTATCTCATTGTAGCTTAAGTGTGCATTTCTTTACTAGCTAAGCTAATGATGATTATCTTTATGAGTGCAGATATTATTTTTTAAGTACTTGGCCTTTCTTACTGAGCTATGACCTCCCCTTCCACATTTTTCATTTTGTTATTTTGAAGCAAGGTCTCACCATGGATTTATGTTGCCCAGACTGGGCCAAATTTACAAACATCCTACCTCAGTTTCCCAGAGCACTAGAGTAGAACAGAAATCTTAACTTTAAAAATTTTGATGAAATAGAATTTAGCAAGCTTTTGTTCTTTCAGGCCTTTTCTTGTCTTACCTAAGAAATCTTTGTTTTATGTGCCCATTGTTTAACCCATGGCTACGAGATTTTCTCACTTGCTTTCTTCCAGAATTGCGCTGTGTAACTCTAGTCATACTTAGGTCCGTGATTATTTTCAGAGGTGCTGGGGATTAAACCCTGGTGCTTGCACTAGCATTTTTTATTGGTAGTTTTGAGACAGGGTCTCACTAAGTTGCTGATCTACCTGGGCTGGGCTCCAATTGGTGATCCTCCTGCCTCAGCTTCTGAGTGTTAGGATTACAGGTAGGTTTATGATCTATTGTGAGTTAATTTTCATGCAGAGTGTGAAGTATATTACTGTACTACTGTATGTAGTGCCCTGTTTTGATGGTTTTTATACCACTGACTGCAACTTGAATTGTGCCATCCTCCTCCAATATAGCAAGCTAAATAGAAGCTCGCTTAGTAGTGAAGTAGTTGAGGGTTTGCAAGACACCTTTCATTTAGCAGTCTGCGCTCATTGTTTCTGTCAGGTCACCTCCTCAACTGACTTCCCACACTGCCAAACCCCTTGGTTTCTGCTCCAGGCTCGTCTTCCTCAACTTCCTGCAGCACCTGCTTCCCTTCCCACCCACATTAGCTAGACACCATCCTTTCCAGAGCCACTAGTAATTCATGGCTGCTTTCATCACGTAGTCATTGCTCCCTCATCCTCCTCTCCCTTCTGTATTTTGAGATACTATGGATCAAACCCAGGACTTGAGCACACTAGGCCAGCTCTCTCCCTCTGAGCCACTTCACCCCCACCGAGTCCTCCTTGACCTTTTGAATGCTCCAGTTGTCTAGATTTACCAAGTTTGATCTGTGTTATTAACCGCACAATATAGGTAGGGATAAACTGACTTTTTTGCCAAATGTCTCACATTTACCACTCGGAACCCAAGTTGTGAAAGGGACCTCACACATTGGAAGCTGATTCCCACTTTTTTTTTTTTTTGCTTTTTCATTTTTATCGGTACCAGGGATCAAAGTCATGACTGCCTGCTTGCAAGGCAGGCGCTTATGCCGCTGAGCTAAACCCCCAGCCCGGATTCCCGCTTTTTAGAAGCCGATGTACTTCCTGTGCACTCCCAACCCACAGTGAGACTTACAAGTTGAAAGGAGATGCTTCTGAATGAAAGGACACATTCCTGTCACTCAGCACTAATCTCCAGGACCTTCATGTGAGGCCCACCACACGCACTGCTGAGCTTCCTTCTGTGGGGACCCCTCTCTCCCTCCTATTTACTCACAATATCCAAAAGCTGCAGTGGCTGTTGGCTTCCTACCCAGCCGCAAGGGCTGCCTCCAGCACTCCTTCCTGCTCCACACTGTGGAGCCTCGTCCTGCCTCTTTACCATTCAAGGAGCAGCTTTCCATTAACTCAGAACTCTGTGTCCTGTCTGCAGGATCTTACCGAGCAATATGGTCTGCTGCCTCTGCCAGTTTAAAAATGATATTGAAGTTGTCGACAAGACAGTCAAGCTGCACTGTGATAGCACCTGTCTGACCAATGCCATGCAGTGTCGTGAGTCTCAATTGCCTAATGATGTTTTCATGTTTCTTTTATTTGCTTTTTAATTTCTAAATACTGATACAAAGGCTGTAAACTAATGATACAATTGGTTTGCACTTATAATGTGCAGTTATGTGCACTTATAATGTGCAGTGCAGCTTGTAAGCTGGTTTTTTATATATTAGGTCTCTATTCCTTCAACCTTAGGCAGGTGTACATCCGTTTTATCATCTTTTCGAAACTGTGTCAAGCCGTACTATTGTATTGGAGCCTGAGTTTCTGATTGCCTAACTACAATTGCTTGTCTCTTCTAAGGGAATGCAGGGTTGTTCCATGCCCAGACTGTCCAAACCTGAGCTTATCATGAGTCTCAGATGACTCAGGTGCATTTAAGGATTTTTCCGTATGTCGGGTTTATTAGCTCTCACTTCATGCTTGCCACATGTGAGTGCTTTCATATCCAGAGAGCTTGAATACAGGGACAAATAATAAATAGTGGCACTACGTTTCTTATGCAAAAGAACTTTGCTTGGTTTCCAAAACAAATTTTTACCAATTACAGTATTCATTCTACCCTCAGAGGTGAGAAAAACAAGAATTTCTTGCCTCCATTTACAGATTAAGATCAGAGGTGTCAAGTGCTAGAGCCTCATGCCCAGCCCTCTGTCCGCAATTCTGGGTTCTCCAGAACCCATTTTCCTCTATGGTCATGATCCTTACCCCCTCCTCCTCTGGTCCTCACCACCACCAGTCAATTAATTCTTCCAGAAGACAAATCAGTTACACATTGAGCCCTTGACTTTCGTATGACAGTATTGTCAGGAGCTTTGGATGCTTAGAAATATTAGGACAGAAATAAAAGTAGGGAAAGCATCTGATCTGATAGAAGGGGCAGTTTCTCTTATAAATTACCATCTTAAGTCATGTATATACAGAAACTGCTGTTATTTTGTAGATTTGCTGTTCACTATTCCACAGAGGCAGGCATACAACCAGGCAAATTAAAAATCTCTTATCCTACACTCTGGATCCCTGCTCTGATATAAGGAAGACTCGAGCAGTACAGTGTTTGGCTCTGTGTAGAAGAACCTTTTGTTATGGGACTGGACAGTGGCAGTGAACCTACCACACATGCATGGTTGTGTTTTTCTCTTAAGACAAAAGACGTTCATAAGGAGTTGTTTTTTCCCACCTAAAACCCCAGTATTCAGGTTTCATTGCAGGGTTGGCACTTTGCCATGAGTAAGTGGGTTAGGGTGCGGTTTGGCACTTTTTCTCTGGATGTTTGCCATCACGGTGCTAGGACACATGGAAGCAGGGACCAAGTGAAGGCACTGGGCACACAGGTGGAGCAGACGTATCCAGAAAAGACCTGTAGGCAGAAGGAGTGGGGCTTTTACATGTCTGCCTTTTTGTCCTAAGAGGACTGTCCTTCATCATGGTCATCCAAACATAGTGAGGTGGCAACTGACCAGGTGGGGTGAGGAAGACCTGTGCTGCCTCTGCTGCTACACTGTGACATTATGGTGTTTTGGGTCCTGCATGGGTATGCATAGAAGGTCTGCAGAGAAGCCTGCTGAGTGGGCAAGTACTTGTCAGGATGTGGCCTTTAGTGAGTACCAATCATTTGGCTAAGTTAAGTTGCTGTATACACACTATGGAATGTTCTCAAAAAGTAGTCTCGTTAGCAAGAGAGGTCATTTTCTCTTTCTGTTGGGTTTTTGTAAGTTTAAGTTTGGATTTCTTTTTGTCTTGTCCACATGGCACTGAAATAGTTGCTGACCTCTCCCTTCTTTGACTGGTGTGTACAGCTGTGGGCCAGTAAAAAGCTGGGTGTCTATCATTCTGCCCTAACTGAGAGCAATGTCTTCTTTTCTGACAGTGGGAGACACATCCATAGTGATCTCCCAAGAATCCTTCATGAAAGTGTTACAAGCCCGGAAGGGGAGCACCAGCACCCAGCTGAATATTGAATCTGAAATGTCATCTTCAGAGGAAAGTGTGACCAACCCAGTGGGCTTTACAAAAGAGCAGCTCGATATGAATGATGAAAGTGACATCATCAGTGCACTAAACTACATACTGCCTTATTTCTCCAAGGAAAATCTAGAAGGCATAGAGGCAACATTATTACCATTCATTCAGCTGCTTTTTTCAAAAGTCCAAGAGGACGCTAATCCCTTAGGTGACTTGAACCACAACAGGAGAAACTCTTTTCAACCTGCACGCAACAATTTACGTTTCACAAATAAGATGAAGAAGCTGTATCTTCTTCAAAAATTGCTGGAGGAAGGTAACCAGGAAAAAAACAATGAGGTAAAAAAGGAAGAGAAAATTCCTATGCTGCTACAGCCTAGCCATTTTCTTCCCAAATTCAGAGGCCAAATCTTTCAAAAAAAATCGGAAAATGCTGAAGCACCAGAAAACAGCCTGGCAGCAGTTGGGCATGGAAGGAAAACACTTCAGAGAGTAAAGAGAGAACTTGCGGAGAACACAAGAAAAGCTGTGTCTTCTTCAGAAAATGGCATTTTTATTTTAGAGCATGCAAACTCTATAGTTAAAACCATGGGGGGGAATAAGCCAATCATGCATTCTGGAAAAGTTCACCGTTTTCACAAAATTCACTCACGTGTGGCCCACAGAACACAGGAGACCAAGCTGAGTGAAAACCTGAGAAAGGAAAGCACACGCAGTACACTACTGCTTGCAAAGAGGCCTCCATTCCCAGCAGTGAAGAGTCACACCAGCTCCCCTTCACAACAGGTGCTCTCACCTTCAAGAGACCCGAGTATTCGGGAGAATCCTGTGTCAGAATTATATGTGCCTTTAGAGCCTTCAGTAGAAAGCACCTCTGTAGAAAACCCTGCTACAGATGAAGATTTTCAAGGAGTGGATTTTGGAGGGTATGTTAGTGTGCCAGAAAGATCTGTATCTGAAAAAACTCAGAAGGATCCTTTGGCCAAAGAGTCTGCTGCGACTACACCCGACCTCACACCAGCTGTGAGGCAGGCCAGGGAGGCACGATGGCAACAACCCAACACGGGGACTGACTCACTCCCCAGGGACTTCACCTCCACACTGCTGTCAGGTGATCAGTTTGAAACTTACCGAGACCAGCAGCTGGGGCTCCTCATCCCCAACAATAACATCAGAAGGCTGATTTCTCAGGTCAGCAGGATCGTAAAAATGGTCTGCTCTGAGGCCCACATGCAGCTGGCCTGTGCCAAGCTCATCTCTAGGACGGGCCTCCTGATGAAGCTACTCAGTGAAGAGCAAAAAGTCCATGTGGCCAAGGCCCTGTGGGATGCAGAGGATCAGAAGAGTGAGAAGGACACCACTGAGAACACAGCAGAGAGCGACCACAAGGACCAGAAGTCAAGAGAGGTGAGGAGGTCTACCGAGCTGAGGGGCCACCATGAGGTGCACAAGCAGGGCCTGCTGGTCTGTATTTTGTCCTGGCCACGTAACTTTGGCCAGGATGGCACTCTCCACCCTGCTCCATGAGAGAAGGAGATGTCCTAACACACAAGATAAACAAAGCAAGAGAAGGACGTGCACTATAATAAGATTTGTAACACATCCCGTTTGATGTGCTTTTAAGAATCTCTAAGCTACTCAGAAGAATTGGATTTAAATAGACAGCTGTCATCCTTGTTATGTCTTTGTTACCCAACTAAAATTATCTTTTTTTTTTTAGCTTACAAAAGTTCCACAACGTGACTATTACAAACTGATCTTGCCATTATCTTTCATGGGAGTGATGATTTTGATGGTAATTTTCTGCCTAATCAAGGTAAGGATAAAAATTGATTCAGGTTTCCTGAATGCATCTTGTCTTTGTATGATTCAGAACCATGAACAGAAAACCCAGGCCATGTTGCCCTTTCCTCCTGGACATTCCTCTGTAGTTTAGTTTAGTTTCTTTGTTGTTGTTGTTGTTTTGTAACAGGGATCAAACTTGGGACCTCACACTTACAGACAAGTACCTGCACCACTGAGCTAAATCCCCAGTGCCGTTCCATGTTAGTAACTCAGGTTGAAATAGTCTTTCTCTTTTACTTTAATATGATTTTCAGGTATGAGGACTGGTTTATCTTTTGAGATGGTGCCTTGCTGACCTTGAGCTCATTATGTAACCCAGGCTGGGCTCAAATTCACAGTGACCCTCCTGCCTCAGCCTCTGGAATGCCTGGTGTTCTCCAGGGATTTTTAAAGGAACTCCACTCCCGAAAGATCTCTGACGAGCTAAAACCAAGACAACAGGTCACTTGGGTACCTGGACAAGTTAATTTGATGGGCAAACGATGCCATGAAAGAAAATTTCCCCAACCCCAAACTACCATGTCGACAGTTTGATGTCCTCACTGATCTCATGCTCGCCATGCTCAAGCAGCTGTCATCACTCTAGGGAGAAGGGACAGCGCCACAAGACAGAAGTCTGTCTTCCACATTCTTTAGCTTTGACAGCTGCTGCTGTCTCCAGTGTGCGAGGCATTGTCTAATAGGTCCAGGTATAGCCCTGCCGCTGAGGCTTCTGTCAGGTCTCCCACAGCAGGTCCTGTTTAGAGCAGCCTCTTCCAGAGCTTGCCCCTGTTTGCTTTTTGCCTCATTATGTAATAGTTTATTATTTTACTTTTCATCTGATAGATTATTAAAGCGTAATTTCATAGTCTGACAAACTTTACTCTCCTTTTCCAATTAAATAAAGTATCCCTAATTTACATTTCCCACAGTTGTGGCAGCCTTCTGCCCCGGCCCCTCTCCATGCCTTAGTCGTACCATCCCATTCCTATATTTGCCTGTGCTCTGTCTATAAAGAATCCTTGTACTTCACCCTGCTTGTGGAAGTCTCACGAATGTGCTGAAAGCCAACTCAAGCTCGTCCTCCTTCATGCAGTCTTTCCTGGATGCGCTAGTTCTCCTGAGCCAGTCCCCTCTTAAGAGACTCATGTCCATTTCTCCTACCACGAGAATAGAAATATGCTACACAGGTTTTTGAAAGAGGGGCATCTAAGAGTGAAACACAAAGGTCAGCATGGAAAAAAGCTGGGTGTGGCGGTAAACACCTGTAAGCGCAGCATTTGGGAGACTGAGGCAAGAGGACTGCTACAAGTTCATGGGCAGCCCGTGCTACATAGCTCAGGGTCAGCCTGGACTACCGAGGTGCTGCCTCTGGGTCAGAACTATTTCTTGTGAGGTCGGGGCATTCTGATTTGGGGTCGGTCTTGTGAGACTGATGAGATAAGATTGCTCCAAAAGGAAGGAGTGAGTTCTCTTTTGGTGAGAGCAGACACTAAAATCTGAGCCCCAGAAGCAGGGCCAACATGGGGTAGGATGCTCGCAATCCAGTTGCAACAAAATCATGGAAGGAATTCAGTGCATTAACTGAGACACCACTCTAAAAGGCTGGTGAAGAGGTGCCACATGGCACCAATCCCAGCACTCTGGGAAGCTGAGGCAGGAGGATTCAAATTTCAAGTGCAGCCTGGGCAATTTACTGGTTTACTAAGACTTGTCTCAAAAAAATAAACCACCAAAAAATAAAAACACAAAATCTTGTGTGGGCTCAGTGCTGGGTGGAAGAGCCAGGGGAAAGCAGAGGTCCTGTCTGTCCATCTGTCTATCTACCTACCTGCCTACCTATCTATTTCATTGCAGAAGTCATGAGTTCAGTCCCTATTACTGGATAAAAAAATGTTTCTGCTTCATGCAAGACTCTTAAGGTGCTTTCGCAAAGTCAGTGAACTATGACTAGTAGGGTAGAATTCCATCTCTAGGAAAGTTCTCATCACACAGAATATCTCAGACTAAAATTAATAAAAGGAGTGAATGAAAATCAAGAGATAGAGGTGGATTCTCAACACTTTTTTTCCCCAAAACAGATGCGTTGTCATAGAAGAGCTTTACCAGACGTTGAAAAGGCCTCAAGGTAAATATGAGTCTGCCGATTTTTATTTATTTATTTTTTATGTATTTACTTTTTGTCTTTTTGAGATAGGGTCTCACTGTGCAGTTCAGACTTGAGCTCACTTTGTAGCCCAGGCTGGTCTCAAACTTGCAACCATCACCCTGCCTCGCCTCCCCAGTGATGGGATTACAGGCATGCATCACCATGCTCAGTTAGAGGACCTTTAAATGAGAAACTCATTACTAGCACTGGAGGAAAACCTAGAACTCAGCTATTTAAATCCCTGGATCTCTCAGAGCAGAGCCCACCTGGAGCAGAATAACCCTTCATTCCTGAGGTCTCATGTGGCTCCAAAGAAGCTGAGATGGGCCGGACAAGTAGGGAGGGACCTGCTGTCACCAGGCATCCCATACTGAGGGTAGAGGTGGCAGGTTGGGGTAGGCCTACTTCTGTGGTGGAGAGGCCTTTTGGGACTGCACAGGAAGCCCAGGTGCTAGGCAGGAGCTGGTGCAAGATGGAGTCCCTCCATCCTTCCTTGGAGGGGCGGAAGCTCATCTTCTCATGCTTCCGCTTCCCTTGTGAGCCTCCTCAGTTCTTTTACTCAAAATAACAGTGTGCGTCCAGGCTGGGCCAGGTGCAGAGGTCTCCCCCAGAGACCTCCTGAGGCCCTTGGTAACAGATGGAGCCTCAGAAAGTCCAGCATTGTGGAACTGTTTGCAAAACTCCAGGCCTAGTTTGAACTTGCCTATTTTGAGCATGGGGCAAGGTACAGGTTTTGTCCTAAAGAGACCTGAAGTGGGCATGCAGACTGAGACATGACAATGCAAATCACTCACTAATTGTCTTGCACGTATGTTTTCCCACAAGGGGCTTTTCTCCACATTGGCATGGAAGCTGCAAAGCAGAACAAATGAAAGAGGTAAACTGGAGAAGTGCTCAATGCTGGGGTGGAAGGGGCAGGGGAAAGCAGAGGTCCTAAGTCCCTTTCTGTTTTACAGAAGGCTGGTACTAGGTTTTATAGCCTACTTTTGCTCAGGGATATATACAGACCCATCAGTACCTCCCTGTCTTAGTTACTTTATGCTCGTGGCTGAGACAAAATACCTGATGCCCAAGTTGGGAAAGGAAAAGTTTATTTCTTACAGTTTTTGGAGGTTTCAGTCCACACTCAGTTGGATCCAAGACAGGCAAGCATGGCTGGGCTGCAGTTCATGGCGGCCGCCTACAGCAAACTCGAACCAGCAAAGAGAAAGACACACTTTCTTCCTGCCATTACATCACATCCTGGCTCCACCCCATGTGGATGGAGCACTGACACCATCAATCCAAGCACTATACAATGAACCATCACAAATGAACAATGCAAACTCATGAGGCCTGGGGGACACAAACATAAACCATAACACTCCCAAATGAGAAGAATGGAAGCCAAGCTACATGATGAATCCTCTGAGGAGGATGAGATTTTCACAAACCCTACCCTGTAAATGCCTTGGGATGACTTAAGGTTCTTGTCTAAAATGAGGGGGCAGGGAAAGTTTCACTGCCTTGGTATTGTTCTCCAGGTACCTGTGTGAAGTCATCATAGAAGGAGGGCTCACAGAGTCGAAGATCAAAGATGACTAAGCCCTTCTGGCTTCAGCAGTGATTGTAAATAGTTTGCCATAATAAATTACCTACTGTTTTATATACATTTTATATTTTTTATATAACTTTTAGCTATATGGTGAGAAATTAAATTGCAAGTAGTTAAGTATGTGCATGCACAGAACAAGAGCAGAGGCAAAAAACGGTTGGGGTAAAGCTTGGATCCTTTGTGGCTGTCATGCTTCCAGGAGAGGCAGCGTGGTGGCCTCTCACCCTCATCACCCAACACAGTCAGCCTCTGCAACCAAAAGCACATTCTCCACAAGCAGGGCGGATTCTCAGTCAAATCGCTATTGTTCTCATGCACTCTCCTGTGCTTTAGGAGAAGCAGTTACACAGTGGTGTAGGGGAGCACACCCCTGTAACCCCAGCACTCTGGGAGGGGGAAGCAAGAGGATCACAAGTTTGAGCCCAACCTGGGCAAATTAGTGACTCAGCAAGACCCTGTCTCATAACCAAAAATAAAAGAAGGCTGGTATGCACCTATCACAGAGGGCTTAGCTCAATCTCCACTTACACAAAAAAGAATGAGCCAATCTAGTCCCTGTATACCTGGCCTCTTGCCAGCAGGACTGTCCACCTGCTTACCTTCTAGACCTTCCTCTCCTAGGATGCTGGGGTCACCACAGTATTTGGATTACTGGGCCTGCTGGCCTCGGGTGAAGTCCTATCTTTTGGCCCAAGTCTCGAAACTCATGTATGAATGTGTATGCCATCTTTGTAGCAGTTCTCCATCCTTACAAGCTGGTAGAAAATACCCATTGGTTTTTTGTTTGGTTGGTTTTGTTTTGTTTAAATCCCAGCCATTGGCCAATTAGCACAGAGGTGTAGAGAGGTAACATTAAAAAAAAAAAAAAAAAAAAAAAAAAGAATATGTGAGATCAGTCATTTCCCAGATGGTCCATCTTGGGCACTGATTTTAGATATAGGTTGGGCCACTTATCTTTTTACTCGTGGACTGCCCCAGCCCTCCCGACCCACCGAGGGTCATGTGTGTGCTGCTTTGTTCCCTCCAGCAGCTCTGTCCAGACTTACACCTACCTTCTTCCTGCCCCATCCAATGCCAATCTGTATGATTCCAAGTGATAATTTGCAGATGAAGCAAGAGTTCCTCCACTGTATCTCCAACACAGAATTAATAAAGGATGCTTAGTACACAGGGGGAGGTAAGTACTTGGTGAGTAAAAGATCTCAGTGTACAAGAATTGAGAATCCACCTACTGACTGCAAAAGCATCCTGGCACCCTGTCATAGAAGGTGAGAAACAGTGCCAGAGGCTGCTGGAGTGACGAGCCTGGCAGGCACACAGCTGGCCAGTTGCTGCAATCCCACCCTCACCTGGCTGCCTACAAAGCCAGAAGTACTGGAGACTCTTTTTAAGTCTGAGCTTGCAAATGCACACTCTAGCTTCTACTTCATTCCATGACCAAAGCAAACCACAAGGCAAGCCCGAAGCTGGGAATTGAGAAAGGACCTTCTACGCTCCATGACATCATGGACACCAGCAGGGGTGAAATTGGGTGAAGTAATTCTGTCTCAAGGTGTGATGAGTCCTGCCTTAGACTTTGTTCAGCCTGGCCCACCCCCGGAGAGGTCACTTGAGAATGCAGCAGGTGCCTAGTGCTGAAGAAACCCAACCACGCTTCTCTACTAGGTCAGGAGCCCTAACAAGGCAAGGATCAATTTCCTTCCTCTCCACATGGCCCACTACATGTCCCCCAGTTCCTAGGACCAAGCCCTGCCCTTGGGCATGACTCGGGAATATGAGTGACTGTGTGAATTAAGATTGCTGCTTCTACCTACACATGGGACTCCACATGTCACCATACGCTTATTGACCAAAGGCCAGCAGAGGGTGCTAGCTATTTGCCCCCACTCTGTGAAGAGCCTGTAGCACTGGGGGCTGAGATCTATCCAGCATCAAATCCTGTACTGCTGTCCACACGGACCTTCAACAAGGACTCAATGCCAAAACAAGTTAGTGAAACTCCTTTCTGCACAGGCCATTTAAGACTGAAAAACTTCCGGTCGTGAAGTTATAAGAGGAAGGCTGTTTAAGGGCACTGATTGGATCACTGGGGATGGTGGTATACATCTGGCATCCTAGCACTTGGATCCTGAGGGAGCAGGATTCTGAATTTGAGTTCAGCTTAGTGAAAACTTGTCAAAAAATAAAATGAAAAGAGGCTGGGATATGACTCACTCCAAGGGTCCCAGGTTCAAGCCCCAGTACTGCCAAAAATGACATAAAACAAAAGTCTCTCAGGGGTCCACATGGCTTAAGGACAACTAAGGCAGAGATTCACCATGCAAACTTTATCACTGGCCAAGTGTGGTGACACACCCCTGAAATCTTAGCACATGAGAGGCAGGCTAGCCTGGGCTACATAACAACTGCAAGGCTGGCCTAAACTAGCCAGTGACAACCTATCTCAAAAGGCAAACAACATCAAAATGAAAAAACCACCACTGTCCCTACTTCCAAGCACTTTGGCTGCTCTCATCAGACAAAGGTAAGGCCAGTCCTGTATGTTCTATGTCCATGGTGGCCTTCCCCAGAGACCTTAATTTTTCAAGGAGATTCAGAGAGAACTGTGATTAATACTAACGAAGGCCACTGTCACCACGACAGGGACCATGGTGGCGAGTGTGTTTTCGGGCCATGATTCATGGTCACTTGTTTCCCCTGATTGTCAAAAGGGGACCCATGCCAAACAGCTTCAGACCCAGGCTGACAAAAGTGACACTGTAGGGAATCTAGGGTGGTTATGAGGCATCTTAGGTACAGTATGTGGCAAATTATTAAAAAATGACGGCCCATGACATTACAGGCTGAATAAGAGATTGCCTTTGTGAATTACAAAGGAAGACAGCAATATCTCACTTCATGAATGCATCGGTTTGAAAAGTTTGATTTGCAACCAAAATTTTTGGCAAAATCTAGCTTCCATTCACAAACTCCACATCAAGTGACAAACATTACTGTGGCCATCTTCCCTACACAAGCAGGAATGCAACCAAATTCATCACAGATCATTAAACAAGTGAAGTTCATAAACCAGTACCACTGTATTCTGCTTCTGGAAGGCTTGAGTGGACAGCTGGGAAAAGTAATGCTATATAATTTAGGCTGGTCTTGTCCTAGTGCTTCTCCTGCCTTAGCCACCCCATCCCTGGCTTTAAGACAATGTTTTCTAGAAGTTTTTCTTTTTTTTTAAACAAGGTAGTCTGGAACAATTTACCTTCAAGATAGAGGCGTTCGTAAGTGGCCAGAAACAAGGTAAAGTGTTTAGTATGAGCTGCATATTGTGGGTTATCTGTAGAGTTGTGTGGCCGAGTATAAGAGCCATTAGGCAGCCTTTCACTGTTGAAATATAAAGGAATAGAAATTAAGTAAAATTTAAAAGACAGCTCCAGGGGGCTGGGGATTTAGCTCAGCGGCAAAAGCACTTGCCTTGAAGCAGGCAGTCTTGAGTTCGATCCCTGGTACCAATAAAAATGAAAAAGACAAAAAAAAAAAAAAACAAAACACAGCTCCTAAGTCACACCAGTCACATTCCAAGAGCTTAGTGGTACCATTCTCGACAGCAAGGTAGATCTTTTGGTATCACAGTTCTGGTGGTCCTCACTAGTACAGGATACCCTGGAGAGAGACACACAAGACACTGGAAAAGGTCATCCTTCAGACAGGGCAACTGGGAGGCTGCAGTGCCATGTCACTGGTTATATCTTTCAAATTATGTAGCATTTTTTTTAGGTGATGAATGCATGAATAAAATATCTGAAGCTTGGTACCATGGCACATGCCTTAATACAAAGTACTCAGGAGGACTTAGCAGGATAATCAAAAGTTCAAAGCGACTTGGAGAACTCAGCAAGACCCCATCAGAGGAAGAATGACCCTGGATTCAGTCCACAGGATCAAAATAAATTCGGAATCGGCATTGGCTACATTGGAACACCGGCTATGAGGGCTCACTGTTCTGGGATAGGAGTTTCCAGGAAATAACTTTATAATTTGCCTACAATAAAATAAGCTCATAGACTTTATAACTTTACATTCATCTTTTTCCTCATAACTTAAGACCTGTTAGCTCCTGCCAATCTCTCTCTGCACAAAGGAACTCCTGACAGAAAAGTGAATTAATCAACAGCAAGAAAACATTAAAAGAAAAAAGTTGCACAGCTGTCTTGCCCTTTTTCTCTCTCAGCAATGTGTGTGTGTGTGGTTGTGATTTTATTCCACGTGAGTAATCGGCTGTCACAGTTCCTACTGGGAAGGGTGCTCCAGGCTCTGTAACAGAACTAAGTTTGGTGGTCTGTCTACCTCCCAACACCCTGGCTCCTGAGCCAGTCTGAGGATTAGGGAAACAGAGGACAGAGGTCCAGCAAGGAAGCAACCTATATCCAAGCCAGTTAAGTAAGGCGGGAATGGGCTGGGGAAACATTGACACCAAACTGTAGTCTGAGGGAAAGAGCCAAACAGCCCAAAAGGGGATCAGAGAATACAGATGTACCTGCTGAGGAAAGTGACTCTGGAGAAGTGATCTCCTGTCCCTGCAGATTCTTGGTGGGACCATCAAGGCTGGAGAACATGGAGTGGTGTGTGCAGAACAAATACTGTGTCCTCCACCAGTGCGTCTGTAATTATTGTCTGATTAATAGGAAGTATACAGTGTGTGTATGTATGTGTGTGTGTGATCTCATTTAACTCTTACAGCTTTCCAAAGAGTACATCTTACCCTTCTAATTAACAGATAGTACACAGGCTGAGGAATAGATGAGCTATCCAACTTCACACCTGTGTTTGTTAGGACTCTGTCCCCA